CAGCACTTCGTGGTACTTGGGCAGCACCTCATGGTACTTGGGCAGCACTTCGTGGTACTTGGACAGCACTTCGTGGTACTTGGGCAGAACGTAGTCGTGGCGAGCAGCCATAGTCGTGGCGAACAGCCATAGTCGTGGCGAACAGCACTTTGTGGTACTTGGGCAGCACTTCGTGGTACTTGGACAGCACGTAGTCGTGGTGGGCAGCACGTTGTAGTAGCAAGTCATCGAGGTCGAGGAGCCGTGGGCCGCGACTCCACCATACCTTTGGAGCGATGCACCATGCACGGGGCGAGGTGCTCGTTGTGGCGCAAAACGAGAAATGGCTCCGCGGAGAGACGGCAACAAATTGGTTGGTGCCAAGAGATTTATGTTTCAATAAAATCACATACAAAACGCCTGTCGACGTGGTGATTTAAAATGCAATACGACAATTTGTCCAGGCCAACAGTGCTTTCATCGCATCTGATTGGTTACTGTGAATGGTCAACACATTCTGATTGGTAGGGTGGGTCAATGGTGTACAGAGCAAGAGGCTTTGCCCTATTATTTCGCGCTTCCAGCATGAACTCGCAATGGGGGCTGACTACCGGTACATGGAGACCGCGCACTGCCATGCACCGCCACGCACTAGGTATACTGTTTATGTTCCTCGAAGGCCCAACATAGATATCCCCACAATACTCAAACAAGGCCCATTCCGGGAACAGAAAAGATGGCTGCCACGGAACGTTCCATCTCGCTCGAGCAATGGACGCCAAACGTGGCGGCCTTAACGGACGAATAAAGCGTGTATTCTACTACGATACGAGTGCGTGTACGACGGATCAGTTGCCGATTGAACGTGGAAATGAACGCTCCAGGATTGCCAGGTGAGCGTGGTGTTTGCTAGAGGCCTAGTAGCAACATCGCTCTTAGTTGCGAAAGCCATCTACACCCTGCAGTCCAAAAGCCTGAAGAGATACTACGCCCACCTGTCCAAACTCTGCTCTGCGGCTTCTCCAAGCGACGAATTGCTTTCTACCTTTACGGCCGAGGTCGCCAACGTCGTACGGAATTTAGCGGCGAGCCAAAAGGCAAAAGCCTACGTGTGGGCCTTGGTTGAAGGACTGCACAAAGGTATCGCTATCTTGTAATTGGTTTTGTCCTGAACGCACATGTACACAACTAGACGCCGAGTTCTACGACCTTTGTACTGTTGTCGGCACTATTTCCGCATTCTACTCCGACATGGAAACCCTCGGAGACCTTTTCATGGGTATGCTTCTCAATATGAAAGATATTAGATGTTTGGTGTTTGCACTGACAGCAACGAACGATAGCACGATTGCCTTGGATCTTTCCATTGAGCCAAACTATGGTGGACAGCGAAGACATGCGCGTCTTGCACCCTCAAAACGTGACGTCCAAGCGGTCGATTCAGCGCAGAGTGTCAACTGCAATCAAGGCCGTTTCGGACCTGAGTCGCGGATCTGGCGGGATTTGCGTGGTATGGAAACTGATTTATAGAGGTCATTACTCTGCAATGTGACTACATAGCTGACCTTCATCAACAGGTCCAAGGATATGGTGGTCTTGAGGACAACCCACCCGTCCCCACTGGAAGGTCGTTGGGGTACGTCGTCCACAAGTTGCTCGGCGAGGTCACCAAAGTCGTACATTCGGTGGGCATCCCATTGCACTCGATGACAGCACGCTATTGTCATTTTAATTTTATATCCCCGTCATCAACGAAAGTATGAACACCACGCCACGCCGCCCACACCAAAATGGATCCCGTCACACGCCGCGGACCACTGAGAGCGACCGACCACCGAGAGGCCTTGAACAGACATGACCGTAGCGCCACCGTCCAAATGCCGCTGTTGATAAACTTGATCACGCTCCGCGCGCTTTAGGCTCCCATCGCGCGCGACAAACCCGCTCGTAGCGACACAATCACCGAGAGGTCTTGGACAGCCATGGCCGTAGCGCCACCGTCCACGTGTTGTCGCTCTTGGTCGGGCTCCGCGCGCTTCAGTCCTTCTGCCGCCTTGAAGCTTGGCGAGACTAAAGTTAACTTTGTGGTGGCTTCCGCAGTGCAACGCAAACAACGCAGCGAGGGGAGAGCCATCTCCCAGGAAGCAGGCAGTTGTATTGTGTTACGCCACGAAGGCAGATTGGGAACTGAGACTATGGAGGCCAGCGTTGTGGATAGAACGATAGGTTGTGCCGGATGAGACCTTCGTCAAGAGGCTCTATGATGGGTCACTACCGTTTAGGGTCGCTACCGGACATCATCCGTATATGGCACCTAAGCACTATCCTATCTACACCACGCACACAAACTACCAAGACTCTAGGCTACTCGCTTCCTGGAGTCATAACTCTCCAGCGATACACGCTTGCATCGGCCTGGCATGGCTTGACCGAACCAGACACAACACAATACAACACCCCTAAGTGTTTCGTTAGTTGTCATCCTCACATCTACTGGTCGATTACTTACCCGGCTTCACGACGACGAAAGTACTTTGTCGAAGAAGTTGACCAAAACGCAGCTCGTGCGATAGTGCGGGTGGTGTAGGGCCGGCGTCGTCTTCTCCGGTGCCGACACCCAAGTCCACGAAGATATCGTCTTCCGGCTCGCTGTCTCGGCGTGGCGCAGAAGCGCGAGCTTCTGGATATGGACTGAGCTGTATCGAGAAGCCACGTGCCGCGCAATGGTCGGCGTAGATTTTGTCGTTCATTTGCTTTAAGGCGCGATCGACCAGATATTGCCGCGCCAGACGTGCGCGCACCTGTGCTGCGGCATCGTTGTTCCGCTTCTTTCTCTTCGCCACGGGCGGTCTCTGATCGCCAGGATTCATCTCGAGTGCCACGAGGAAACAGAAATATAGTATGGAAGGCTTGCGTACGTTTCACTGCACCAACGACCGACCAGCCACACCTTGTTCCGTCGCGGCAAAACGTGGGGCCACCACAGCTCGCCACGCCTGCAAAAGATCCATGCACCGCAACAGCAGTAGCCCCATAAGGTATGGCATATGACACCCTATCGTAAATTCGACACTGTTTTTGGCACGAAACAAGTCTCGTAAAGTTGGACTTGCAGCCATCACAACCCGTTCAAATTGACAGGGCTGTAGCGATGGCGCTGGCCAATCACCGCTCCGCCGTCTGTTGCATCGTCACGATCTCATAGAAAGGAGCTACGCTCCTAGGCCCTTGCAACCAAATGTATAATTCAAGGGCAAATGAGATCTCTTGCATGTTTATACACTTGCTTACAACCGAGAAGGCATGATCGATCGACACATAAAGTACAGGAATTACGTCCAGTCGAACGTCCTCTTTTCGAATGGCCATTACGAGGACCGGCTATAAGGTACTAGTACTGACAGACTCGTTTTTCACGTTGTGGGCGTGCGTCTGTAGTGTCGGTGGGAAATCCAAAGTGCTGCGACACAAAGCTTGTCGTTCTGCGCCATGACGATAAGCTCCTTGAGCTCGTTGACGTTCTTGAGGAGCGTCTTAAAAGACGGGGCGAGATCGGCGTCGAGCGCACGTGGTAGCGTCGTCATTGGGCGGCCGGGCTACGCTGCAGCGCCGGAGCGTCCAGCGTACTCTCGCAGCGCGCGGCCCACTGCAGCGTAAATACGGTGTGAATATGTCAAGGTCATTTGACCTCCAGCAACCGGCGGCATGTGGTGATTGGTGTAACCGCTGTCGGTGTCGACGGTTGAAGACATGGCACAAGCCCTCGGCGAGTCCATCTCGCTCAATCTCGTCGAGTCTTTTGCACTCAATGGACATCGTTCGACGACGGCTCTCAATGCAAGCACCGATGTACACCTTGTCCTTTCATGCGATGTACTCAACTCCATCAAGCAGGGGCCCGCGACCTTCACAGCCTACCGGTTCATTCCCAACGTCGCCTTGTTCAGCGGCCGCGTACGTATTCTCTCGACACTGCAGTAGCATCTCAAGTGGTGACTTTATGAGGACCATGTCTAGAGCGATGGAAAGCTCCTCAAGTGGTCCCACGCGCCCAAAGGTTGTCTCTTGCTGCACGTACTACATCGATATAAAGACAGCAACATCAGCTAAGTGCGTAGGGCGACGTCTTTGGCGACCATGCAGGCGCGGTCATGGTGCTCGAGTATCTCGCGCTCTCGGACAAGACCGGGATTCTCTTTAGCGGGTCGGCCGACCGCACCATCAAGGTGCACAACTTCTTTTCCTTCTCCAAATGCTCATGCATGAATAGCTCTGGGACGCAACCTCGACCGCATCCCTCGAAGCTGGCTGTGTTCAGACGTTGAATGGTCACGGTGGCACGATCACCGTGCTGCGAATGGCTGGAAGCACACTCCTCAGCGGCAGCCTCGACCGCACGATCAAAGTCTGGACACGCGATAAGGACCGCGTGCTCTTGCGTCACCCGTGGTTCATGTGCATGCAAACGCTCTCGACCGGCGGCAGGTTTACCTCATATTCATTTCACTTCTACAGGACAAATCTCACTTCTCTCGCTAATGTAGCTGGCCCACGGCAGTATGCTTGAGGCTCGGCGATGTCACGTCCATGTACCTCGGAGACTCGTCCGGTGGGCTCTCTGTCTACACTGCATCTGTGCGCCTCGGATTCTGTATTTTGTTTGGGGGTCTTATGTCGTTGTAGAGTCGGTATTTGGACCGCCAGGTCGAGGGCGCGGAAGGGCAGCTAAAGCTCAAACGGCTCTACTCGCATTTACACACACTTGGTATCACAACCGTGCTCGTCATTTCCGAACAGGTTCTTAGCATGACTGCAGTGTACACTATACTATGGCTTAGAATCTGCTGGTGACACTGGGCTTTGACGACAAGGCGCAGCTCTGTGACGCGACCTCGGGTGTGATTGCAATTACGATCGACAATGCACCGCAACACTGCCGGTTCCGAAGCTGCGACTGGGACAAAGTGCACCGCGAGCTCTTCTTTGTCGACGATGCGGGTGTCTTGAGCATCTGGAGTCTCGACAGCGAGACATGCATCAAGCGCGACGTGCTTAGCGTCCCAGCGACCAACGTCTCGGTGTTTACCGGGTATGTCCCTCTGACATTTCTCCTTCTTTTTCTAGACATATATATTTTGTAGCTCGAGCGGTGGCTACCTCATGGTGCAAGGCGCGTCATCCGCAGCCAAGTTTCGAATCGTGCGCGACGCCACGTACATCGAGTGCCAAGGGCACACAGACGCCGTCATTGCGGTCGTTGCGATCGTCCCTGACGAGGGGTCCTATGTCCATACATCGGGAGCCACGGTCTTCTCTGCGTCGCTCGACAATACCCTCCGCTGCTGGGATCCGTACGACCTGCACGTCTTGTATGGGTACGCTCGCTCGTTTTAGGGGTAGGGGTTCACGTAGGGTTAGGTTTCAAGAAAAAGCCTCCGAATTGAGCGCCATGGCGTACTCACCCATGCACCACCGGCTCCTCACTGGCAGCGACGACGGCACACTCAAGCAGTGGAACGTCGACAACGGCCATTACTCGGCGGTCTCGCAACACAAGAACACGATTAGCTGTATCACTGGTACGTCGTAGCGGGAAAACTAATGCATCTGGGAAACCATCACATCTGGTACTAGTGGCAGCCGTCGATGGCATCGAGTATGTGTTTACGGGCGACTACAATGGGGTCTTTTGGATCTGGGAAATGATGACGGGGCACGCGCCGCCGCTTCCCCACTGTGGGGTCCAGACAAAGGAGCGGGCAACGCCATGCGAGCTCTACTGCATGGCTTTCAACCACGGCCTGTACTTGCCCGCCGCGCACGCCGAGTACCTTGCGATTGGCGACAGCCACGGCGACATTATGGTACGAAAAGACGATACGTTTTAGATGAGAATGTGTCCACACTAGCTCTACGGATTCGATAATCAGCGGCTCATGATCACGCTGAGCAACCACCATGATGCGGTGACGTGCCTCGCTTTTGACGGCAGCTTTCTCTTCTCGGGCTCGGAAGATGCGAGCATCAAGATTTGGAATGTGCTGGATCCGCATGCAGCGTACGAAGTCGGGTACCTTCACGCCCATGCGTCGCCGGTTCGGGACTTGGTTGTTTTGCCGCAAACCGGCTACGTCGTCTCGTGCGCCCATGACGGCAAGGTGCGCGTCTGGAACTACCAGGTCTGCGGCCCCAACGGCGAGTACGCAACGCTCGTCCACGAGTTTCGGTGCGTTGTATCAGTTGCGCAAGCTCGGGTGCCACCTCTGGTTGTAGAAAGCCAGAACGTCTTCACTGTTTGGTCTACTGGCCGCAACGACACGCGCTGGTTTGTGGCACAAGTGACGCGAACGTGCTCGTCTTTGACGTCCCTTCTCACGTACGCTTTAACAAATATTTGATCAATTTCTTCTGAATTATGAACCGCTTTCGTAGCTCACCACCGCCGTTCCTTCGACAAACGATGTTCAAGTTGATAACTCGAAACAATGACAATGTTCTGGTG